AGAAATCCACCATAAAACACGGTCGGTATGGAAAAAAAACACACGTTTAATTATCGCAGGCACATTCCCATATCCTATTTTTTTCGGGTGGGAAATCCCAACTACCGGGAAATCCCATTAAGTCACATTAAGTCCCATTAAACCACCATTTCTCCATGTAATATCTCAATCACATGCCATTATTTAATTCCAATTGAATCCCCATGCGTTGATGATTAAACCTCCATTTCTGGTCGTTGTGGAGTTCCTCCACATTCCCAGCCTGCCGCGCTGTGTCCAAGGACAGCAGCTTGGGCACAGCCTCGCGGCGTAGCATGAAGAGCCGGTGCCATTCCTGGCCGGAACATAAGCGATGGTTGAGAATCGCCACAGTGATATGTCATAACCAATGATGATATACAGTCCAAGCACTGTGTAAGAATTTAGAGCCTAAGAAATTTAGATGTATGTGAAGGAGCCCCTGCTCAATTTTCCTAACCATGAAAGGGTTTATAAAGATTCTATTTGCAGCGGGAAATGGAGCCAGCCTCCCTTGCAACCAAATACCCACCAAAATGAACTTTGCACAACCATGGTCACGGTGACCAAGCCTGCTGGCAACAGCTTCAGCCAGACACGAGCTAGACTCACTGTAGGTCACCTGTGCCCTTGGCTCGTGTTGCCTTGCCTTGCCTTGCCTTGCCTTTCCTTGCCTTGCCTTGCCTTGCCTGTGCTGCCTTGTTGCCACCGGGTACATGGTTAAGAAATTGAGGGGCTGGGTTCGGCTGGATTTCTTAGTTATGTATTGAATTTAACCCTTGAGGGTTTGTAAGAGCCTTGTGTAGAGGAGACGTCACCGGGCAAGGATTCAACTCAATACATAACTAAGAAATCCAGCCCCTCAATTTCTTAATCATGTAAAGGTTTGTAAGAGCTTTCTGTAGAGGAGACTGGGTACAGTAACTGTTTTTTTGTGCCCAGGAGCCACTGGGAAGCGGCGCAAGGATGGCAGAGTCAAACTCACGAAAGGAGCTGCGCAGAGGCAACCCCGCTCTTACATCTTCAAATCTGAATGCTTGTGAAATACTACATAAAAAAATTGCTAATGAAATTAAGGGACCCTCGACCGAATAATTGTACATATGTACTGACATACATGGGGCCTTTCCGATAAGAAATTGAGGGACCCTGGCCATCGGCAACCAACATTCTTATAACGCTCGCGCTGTATATCCGAATCAATAACTATGTTATAATCCCACAATAGAAGTTGCCCTTTATGGATTATATTCTGAATATGTATCAATTATGGGCACATTAGTATGCACAATGAGTATTTTTCTATTGTGAAATGGTTATGGCAAATTATATTGATAGTGATATTTAATAGTGATGATTTCGGGGCTTACCCAACAAAAAATAGTGATCAGTGATTTTTGTATATGTTTGTGGAATAAAATCCGGATCTACTAGGATGTCTTACTTAATGGGGAAAACAAGTTGCGGGTGTAGTTGAGGTTAACGAGTAAAACTATGGCAATAACCCACACAAGTTAGGATATGGGGCCCCTATATGCCCTATAACATCCTATAACTTACAGACCCATTTGTAACCTTGCACCCTCAAGAGTGTCTTTAAATGTATGTGTTTCTTGAAATGGGGAACAGACATCAAAATAACTGAGGCCAACTTCGTTAAACCCTCAACAACATCAACAATTCAGATTCAAGCAACATTCACCAACAGGAACACAACGGGGATGGAGGGAAACTTGGATGACCACCTAAAGATGTCAGCCAACAAGAAACGGAGGAAGATATCACAAGGGTTGGAACTATGTGCTAGGCACTTCGCCAACCGCAGGGAAGATCCAAGCATCATAGATCGAAGTAATTGGATGTAATTGGTCTCAAGTTGCGACTTGCAGGGGGCCTTTACTCTAGGGCATTGTGATTAGTCTAACATGCAGGGAAAATCCAGAGCATTCTTTGGTTGACACTCTCTGCTGTCAAAAATCCAAATGACCATTCTTCTGCAGGACTTGCCCCATAATAGGAAGGTTCACATCTGAAGTATGAGCCACTGTCCATCTTGAGTCACTCCTCCCCTCTTTGGATTTCCAAACATATGGAGTTGTTCAATCCATAGCTACCACTGGGTGCGCATTCTTCACAGACGGAAAATAATTCTGATTGCAAAAACCTAACTGAAGACCTACAATTTCATCAGAAATAAAGCTTCTCAGTTCGTAGAGGGACATATTTCCAAACATGCTAGTGCTTCGGGCGGTCCGTGTATTCATGTAATTTGCCTGGTAATCCAAAAAAGTGTAGACAAAGGCTTGCCTGAAAATAGGGCACCCCCAATCCCTATGCAAATTGCCATGAATTGGTGGTATATCACCTTGCAAACTTTTACCATGTTAAATTCCTATTGTTTGATGATTCAAATCCCCAAGATTCAGAATGCCATCTTTTGGAGGTCACCGGTCACCCAGCAGATCAAATTCTGCCAGGCATCTCTTTGAGCTTCGCTGGGACCCATCGGCTGTGACAAATCCTGGAGATCTTGCGGATGGTGGGCAGTGCTGTTACGGTGAACCCCGGGAACTCCCTTCAAAATACAAAATTGCTCCAAACTCAAACCGTTAAACCGTCTTCAAATATCTTCAAATTACCATGGCATTTCAAGGCTTATATTCTGACATATTCTGGTAACCTGGTAGTGCCCACTGAGATCTGGAGCTCGCGGTTGAGGTCCGGCAGTGCCCACTGAGATCTGGAGCTCGCGGTTGAGGTCCGGCAGTGCCCACTGCGATCTGGAGCTCGCAGTTGAGGTCCGGACGGACAGACGGAAGGAAGGACGAGGAGCCGGAGGAAGTGTGATCAAATCGCAATAACCCTCACCTAGCGCGTGGGGAAAAAAAAACCAGTCTCTTCAGTGCGCCCTGGCAACCCTGGGAACGCTGGGAACGCTGACCTCTCCATGGCTCCCCTCCGTTTGAAGGCTTTGACCATCGCAGCGCTGGATGAAGAATTCGTTCTCCGGATCAATCAGCCGCCCGTAGACCATCCACCTCCATTCTTGGCCAATGTTTTGGCCACGGGGTCATGAGGGTTTCAATGAAGCGAAAAAAAGGTGCGGTTTCGATATAGTTTATTATAGTTTCCATTCACAAGGAAAACATGACTTCGTGGAGCAAGTCTGGGATTTCACCAAGATATATAAATCATCACATTTTGAGCATTGGACCCCTGTCAACTATCAACTGGCATCCTGCGGCACAACCAAACCGAGCAACGAAAAAATACCACCATCCCATCACATTATACTGAGACTGGTTGGCTGATAGGTATCCCTATCATGTATTACCACAATTCCCAAGAAACTGGGTAGTAGAGTAAAACCCGCGTTTCCTAACCACTGAACACTGGTATAACTTTCATGGCTCAACTGACAGCTATGTCAATATGTCAACATACATTACATATCAATCTTCTGGGTAAATTATAATATTTCACTAACCTGAATTAAGGCCATTTGGGGATAACTTCCCTTACTAACCATGGTTTCCAGTGAGGTCGCAGTGAGGTCGTTATAATTTACCCAGATATCTCATTAGAATCCCCTTAAATCCACATTTCGCATGGCAAAACGGCAAAACCTCCATATGTTGTATGGAAATCCCCATTGATTCCAGGCCGCGCAGTGAGTTGATTCACAAAGACTCGTCCAGGTCCCTCCAACTGCCAGGCCAGGCAGTGCTGCAGGGTGGAACCACCTGCTCTGGACATGGTCTGCCACATGGCATCCAGTAGGGCCTTGGTGGGGCCCCGCTTCGGGCCATCGCATCGCTACGTTGCTTTCGTGGTGACGGATGGATTCATGGGTATATCAAGCTAGTTTTCATGGGGTGCAGAAACCATATAACTAGGGGGCCTACCTTGTAGCTATGGAAAATGAATAAAGATAAGGTTCATTTAGTACCCGACACTTTCAAACTATACAAGATCCAGTGCAATTCACCAAGACAGGCTTCCCACGTGCCGGTTGGCCTGTTCACCAGCATTTCAGCGACAGGTGGACATGGGATGCATTCTTCCAAGGCACCATATGTTAGCCCCTGATTAAGCAATTCCATGACGCTGACTACATCTCGTTTTGCTATGGGCACACATGGGGTCAGGTTATGGGAGCTTTGCAAGTCGCCATTTGATGATGACGACCCCAGCGACTGGTAGTTTGACCGTTTGACCCCCACATTATGTGCATCAAAGTTCAGGAGTTCGACTTCCAGGAATCAAGCGGGACCTCCAAATAAACAACTAAAAATATGATGCAGATCTATTTGTGAAAAACAATGAAATGTAAAGAACAACTATGAGGCCTCTAACTATCATCAACAGCACTTTCACATATATGATTTACTAACATGAATCCCGTGGGATATAGACTATGTATATATATACATACATATGGATACATATGGCGCCTTACCAAACTAACTTCCAGTGCCCCCGAGGCCCCAAGGAAGGCCCCAGGCACTGCACCACGCAGCTCACGACTGCTGACCTGGACGGAGTTTGGAATCATTTTTGGACAAACTTATGGGGGGCAGCTGAAACTGAATGGAATCCCCACCAACCCAAACCAACCCAACATATTGCTGGTGGATACTGGTTGGTTGGGATGATGAAATTCCCAATATATGGAAAAAACAAAACATGTTCCAAACCACCACGCCAACATATTTGTACGGCCCCCCAAAAATAACAACGACCTGCATCATCATCTGGTGAAGGGCGCTCAGAACGAAGCTGTCTTCTTGAAACTTGGCCAACATGTCCACCAATTGGAGCTTGGGATTCTGCGGCACAGAAAGATGGCCTAAAACTCATTGACCCCTGGGGCAAAACCTTTTAAACCCATAGATTTGCATGATTCAAACACACCATGACTGAAGCTCTATCACCAACAGAAACGCCAGGAAGGGTCCAGATCCTCCACATGAGGGTCCAGTCCTCTGCAATTTCTTCTTCCAGTTCCACGACTTTGAGTCGGAACCTCAAAGCCAACCAAAGCTGTAGCTGGTTGGTGGTATACCTACCCCTCTGAAAAATATGAGTCAGTTGGGATGATGAAATTCCCAATATATGGAAAGTCATAAAAGCCATGTTCCAAACCACCACCCAGGTAGGTACTGTTGAGCTAGGAGAAACTCAGCGGTTGATTCGCCACTTGCCAATCATGGCTGATGATCCTCCAATGTTGGTACTGGCAGTTAACTGGGATGATCCGAAAAAAGCATCCAACATAGCAATGGCATGGTTCCAGGGAAATCAATCAACATCTACAAGTGAAATCGGATTTTAATGGGATTTTAATGGGATTTTAATGGGATTTCCATGGTTCATAATGGTTAATCATGGTTAATAATGATCTGGTTGGTGTTTTTTAACCATCTTGAAAAATATGAGTTCGTCAATGGGAAGGATGACATCCCATATATGGATTTTTTTTCAAATGTTCCAAACCACCAACCAGAGTTTCAACGGACACTGCACGGTCCGTTGCCAGCTTACACTGCCGAGCGGTAACCCAACGCAACCCCCGTAGTTGGTGGGCCCACCGTTTAGTCTCCACTTCTGATATTGTTCAAACTCCAAAACGTGGAGATCTAAGGTGTTCTCCACGATAGAAAATGCTGACGCAACCATCCAAGAATCCAATACCCATGTTTCACAATTCGATTGATGACATCCCCATAGATTTTGCATTCCTCCTAATGTCCTGAAACAAACATCTTCACTAAACCACATTAAACCACTAAGTTCCTTCAAAAAATAGACCAAAATTCCCAACTTAGGAGAACCACCACATTTCACCAGGAACTTCTCCAAGACATCCTCCACCCTCAACGCCATGGCGTAGGCATAGTGTCCCGGCGTGTCGCCGCCTGCTAGGTGCTCCCGGCGCAGGCTGGAGGAGAAGTCATGCAGCTTCTTGGCCAAGTAACCCACCTGCAGAGGCGGCCAAGACCCGAAGGTGTATTGAAAATGGGATATATCCCGAAAATTGCTAGTTAAATTGAGAAAATGATGCTAATCTATATGACATTATATGACTATATGAGAATTGGAGATACCCTATTTGACAAACCTATATAGGATTGGGAGATCTTCCATATCGAAGTGGCAGTATAATTGTGCAAGTATATACGTCAATGACCATGAGATGACGAATGTACTTACTTACTCCCAAGCTTGAAGTTAGTTCACTGGTTAGTTGGAAAGGGGTACTGGGGCACCATCCAATAGTATCAAATTTGGACAACCCACCTAAAGCGACATCACATCATATTCAAGTTCTCGTTTGGGGTTGTTGGAATGCAAGCTCTGGTGTGGCATTGTCTTAATGGGTTCACATTTACATTCCACGGGATGACACATGTTGGGGAACTGCCAAGCTGCTGCTAGGGTTCTGTTCGAAGCTCATAAAGAAATCCAACATATTTTCACAATTTACGAAATCTGAGAAAAACAACTTTGGGTTGCCTATCTAAAGGCTATCCAAATCTAACATGACTTAATCCATCCAACTATGTTTAACCCTGCCTAAAATCAGTGTCCCGGAGCCATGTAAGCCCCATTAGGCCCCGTCGGTTAACAGGTCCAAACAGGTCCACCCTCTGGATGTCTAGCAGGATATGGGGGTTTCATGGGGTTTCCTAAAAAGGGGAAACCCACAAAATGCATGTGGAAAATCTTACTAGAAATGGATGATGTGGGGGTACCATGGAGCACCCAATTTAAGGAAACATATCATATGTAATTCTTCTTGGTTAACCCGGCAACCTTGCCCCACGAGTCCACAAGTCCACCATCTCCATATGTTTACTGATCTTCCCAAGCCTTGGATACGAAGTACCCCCCACTAGACACAATGTGGTGCCCCCCAGTTATAAGTTGGTGTAAAAAACGAAATTATAAAACCCATCGATTAAAAATAGTCATTTTCCATAAACCCTAGCTAGCTGTTAGCTATAACCAACTTGGCGGTTCACTGGTGCAGCACCTTTTTTCAATGTTGGTAAATTGAGGGTCCCGAGTGGTCAATGTGGGGATATTCCCTGAAACTAAGGCCTTACATAGGCCTTATATATGGTAGGTACCTCCAATTTAAGTTCCTGAAATGGCCATTGACTAGGTACCTTGAGGATCTTTTCCAGCATCTGCTTCTCACCTTCTGCCAGAAAGTTCTCCGGCGCCACACGAAAGCTGTCCTCGGTCTCGACGACCAGTCCTGCCAAAGGAGTTTGAGTTGCCGGTCAAACCCGATCCAAAGTCAGCAAATGACTAAGTAAACCTCGTTCTTTGGGTATCATTTTTGGGGTCTGGATCTTCACCCCTTGTTTCTTAGATGTTACGTGACTCCAAATATACTACCCATTCCTCAGAAGGTATGACCGAATCCACAGCCTTCGCACCAAAATGGCCAATGCTTTGCAGAAAATTGTGAATATAGCGCTTCTAACCCCATAGATTTCGGAGTGGGGCCCACCTGCCAGGTGAATGCCAGGTGAAGGTCTCAGAATATCCCATATATAGCATACATGGATCCTATGGGATATTGCAGATAAAATGTCAGTGGGGATCGAAGAAAATCACATATTTTGATTTTTTCTCCTCCGGTGTATCCAAGCAATGCCACCAAGACTTCGTTCATCAGCCCATGGCTGTGCTCGTCGCTCATGGCACAAAAGGCTCGGCAAGGCAACCGACATCTGCACGATCTGCGGTTTCAGCTCCTTGATGGGATGACCCAGTTCGATCCAAATGGAATTGTGTTTCAAAGAAACACCTAGACAACCACCCACAAACATATACACACATATACAAAAATTGGTATGCTACCCCGGAAATTCAGTACTTTTGCCCACATGAAACATTGCTACTTGGGTCTTGGTACATGTTCAAGTTTAAAGCCGCCAAGCGTTGTAGAGGACTGAGCCAAAGTTCATGGCCAAGCATAAATTGCTGCTGATGAGCCATGCTTCCTGACGACTTCACAAAATGATCCCGAAATATGCGTTTTGGTGAACCAACATCTCTTATGATGTGGTGGCCTCTAGTTATATTTGTTGGTTTATAAACCCCATGATATATCCACCATAAACCCTAGTTATGCTAAAAACAACTTCGCAAACTCTGGGGCATCACCACCACCTTGTCAATCTGGGAGGTAGTGGACAAACATTTCGAATTAGACAATCAGCATCTGTAGTTTTGGAGTTTGGATACTGACAGAAGACATCGAGCAGTCAAACCGGATGTGTCCACTTAGACAACTGTTTCTTCACGAGTAATGAAAAGTGTTTTTTTTTATGTTCTCTGTGGATATATTTGTATGGGTCAAAATTAGATACCCTTACAATTTCCATGCGTCATTTTAGCAATATCTATTTTTCACATGAAAAGAATCTGGAGGTCTACCTTGGGCCTTAAATGGGCAATGGCCCCATTCCATCACACCTTCCATGCGTCGACTGGTCTCCGGAAGACGATGTCGACTGGTTAGTCTCCAATGGTTTCATCATGTTCCAACAGCCCGACTAAGGCCACAGCGATCTCATACATCTCACGGTTCTTGGGATATTTCAACCTGAGACAATTGGGGGCGATCAGCCGGTTGGGGAGAATTCTGCTGATAATGTATAGGTGAGTCGTCATGGGGGATCCGAAAAATCACGATCTGAAATAGTCATGACTTGGATGATTTGGGGGTACCCCCAGTTTAGGAAACCTTTATTTGAGCAATCTCGGAAACTCAAGCTTTGCGAAAAGGGCATCAACAAATTTGGGAAGGTCCCATCACTTACCAAACATTTGTGCAAAAATGATTTTTGGCAATTTCGGGGGATCGCTTAAAGGGAAATGATGTATGTGCACGGGTACTGGTATGACATAACTATAACCTTCAAAGGAGGTATCGCCATCGCGATTTTGAGAAGGTCCCATCGCTTACCTCATGTTTGTACAATTTCTGAAAATGAATTGCCGTCCCTGACATGTTTCCTATTGCCTATTGCTGGAGTTGTTGCATAGATGAGAAAAAACAAATACGTACTTAGGGGTGAACATCCATTTATCAAATATTGAAGTGCGAACAGAAGGGGAACCAGGGTTTTGACCCATACCCATCTCAGTTGCAACGTAGGCCCCAGAGGTAGCTGAAATGGTTGAGAAATATGTTACCTAGCTTCTATTGTAGATATATCATCAAATTATCTATATAGTTAATAGGGTTTATGAAAACGAACCTAGAGCATCTCTCAACTAGGGGGCCCACCTTGTACTGAAGTAACTATATCCAATATGACAAGTCAAGATCCGCAACCGTGATTGAGCCCTCCGGACGCATAGCCCTTGTAGAAAGCAAAGACCTCAGGCAGCTGCGTAACTGGGGCTGTGGTTTGTTCCATTAACATCATCCTTACTTAGATGCCCGTTCAGGAAGTAGATTATCTTGCCATTTGGCAATTATATAGTTCATACTTCTTTATAGTAAGCCTTGGTGGCATCGCATACCAGTTGCATGGGGCTTGTCGCCCAGTTGTATCTAGTGAGGTAGCGCTACGAGTAGTGTAGGCCAGGCTTGCAGACTCCAAAAAACATTTATGATTGAACGTTAATTCTTGAGGGTAGAATGTCTTCAGGAAACACACATGAACCACACTTCAATATACAAACATGGAATACCCCTTAAAGTCACATGGTCAAAACATGGTGTTTGGTGAATAGTCATCCCACCATTAATAGAAATTCCTTACCTTTGACAACGGATTGATGACCATCCCCCAATCAATGGCTTAATCTAATCCAACTAAGTTAACAATGGCACAAGGTCTATGTGGATGATTATTCCGGGTTGGTCAATCGTTTAGAGAAGTCAATAAAAGGTGGTGCCCCCCGTTTACATTATATTTGTTGTTTCATAAACGTATTCAGCATAGTTGGGGCATCGCCAGCAACCCTATAGTTTTGCTAGTTTTTTCAACCAACTTGGCGATTCGGACGGGGGCACCACCTTGTAAAAAACATATATATATAATATATATATATACATACATACATATATATATATATATACCCTCTGGTTATTTAACATAGCTATATGGAAAATGGTACATGTATAGATGGTTTACCTATTAAAAATGGTGATTTTCCATGGCTATGTTAAATAACCAGAGGGTATATTGTATTGTTTCAAACCCGCAACCCGTTGAAGCCTTCTTGCGCGCATCACAGATTCTGGGAGCGGCGCAAACATGTAAAACGTGTAGACATATGCATAATACCTGGTCCGCTTTGGAGTCTGGTGCTGCTCAGTTCCTACTGTAGTTGCTGTGAAATGGACAAGTTGGGTTAATATCATCTGTCACATAAAGATATGAAAAGCATGACAAACATATTGAGTGATATGTTTTTGTGCCATCATGTGCCATCGATCATACTTCTGACATGCCTTTAGATACACAAACTGCTGTTCAAAGACATATCCAAATGGAAGTGGTGGGGACGAAGAATGGAACAGCTTTCTTGTGTCATTTGCACCATGTGTTCAAATCTCAGAGCTCTGGCTCCATTGCTGTTCAGCCCCAACGAAAAGGCCGCATCGCCATGCTGAACACCCGAGCTGACCCGGAGCCCGTCTAAACAGAAGCGCACGTGTGGACGAAAAAGAAAATCCCCACCTATCAGGCGGAGCTGGGTCGCCTGGTAGCCTAGAAATAATTATGGGGATAATTACTGTGTATACTGTATATAATAATAGCACATAATAGTATATAATACATATATCAAAAATCTCATATATTACATAATCGTATTAGAAACCACCTCATCTTGGGCTTATATCATTAGACCTTTAGCAAGCCGAAACTAACGGATTGACCCGTCACATCTGTGCCATGTCGAACCCTCTGTGGTGCAGCTCTGAACCAATTTAACTCTCGCAGTCCACTGGATTCATACTAGATGTGTTGATTGTTGATAGGTATACTGGTGATGTATGTATCTATATATATAGTATATACATATTATACACATTATACATATTATATATATATATATATTATTGATTTATATTGTATTATATATTGAAGTATACACTCATGCAAATATACATCTTATCGTCTGTCTTGCTGTATCGACTTTTACTAACCATGAGTTTCCAGGATTTACTGCTGGAAGTCTGAGTGCAACTGCTGAGCGCCGAGCCCATGGGGTGAGGTTCTGATATCTGGGCAGCTTCCCTCTAGAATTCGGCCTGGGCGGTGCCAAGGTGTTTCAAAAAAGTCTGCGGAAAGCTGGGAAGCTGGTCCAACAAAATGATGCGGCAACCAACTATCTATAATTGAAATTGAAAGCTTGACATGTAGGATCTTGGACTGGATGTGAATTCCACGTTGGTGTTCCACAAATCGTTGGACAATGGTTTCACACTTCTGCATAGTTGGTTATAGTTGGTTGAAACCCTTCAGACAGGTGGACATGTTCACTGTTCACAACCGGTCTGCCCACATCAAATCCATGTGATGTTTGAGACCCTCACACATTTCAGCCATCTCTAGACCATCCCGTGTCCATTCTTGGAATTTTGGCAGTCAGCAAGCACCCTCCAACCACCCGCTGACGCCCCCACGGACATCCCAGGACTGACTTGTAGACCGCCTGACCCCCGAAACGAAGTATGAATTCCATAAATTTATATAATGTTGAGAAAGCATGATAAAGCAATAATGAACCATCCATATTTTGATGGCCTATACCACCCATTTGTGGTGAAATACGGGATGGTTTACTATTGCTTTACTAAGATTGCAGGAATATCACAATATTTTCTTTTGGTCGGCTTGGCCAAGAACGACTCCCAGTGATCATCAAAGCCATAGATGGTAAAGTTGCCTACATTCAGGCCATTTAAGTGGCAAATGTTGGCAACTGTACCATGTATGGTGTGGGGATATGCTGAGAAGACAAGTCCCCCTAAATCATACATGGAAATACTCAGCAGGTTTGCTTGACCCCTTGATTAAGAGAAAAGAAAACGTATGGTCAGAACAGTGTGAGCAAGCCTGCAGATATACGTACACCGCCCTGGGGACATTCAAAATTCAAGAGCTCAATGTTGACATAGTTTGATTTAACTGGTTTTGTGCTATGTCCTAATCTTTGCCGGATATGTCGCTCTTGTGTGCTGCTCAAAAATTCCTGATGTTTGCTGGTTCTTGATGAGTTTCCTCAAAACTCTCTGACTCTGGTTATGACTAACAGTTCGCCATGGTTTTTCGATGGCCCATAGATTTATAGATGGTTTTTACCGTTCTTAAACATGGTGATTTTCCGTGGCTGTGTTAGTCATAACCTGGTTTAACCGTTCTTAAAAATGGTGATGATTTTCCATGGCGAACTGTTACTGTTAGTCATAACCAAATGGTATGTCACTGGCGTTGTCCCATGTTTGCTGGTTCTGTTCCCCTTCGCCATGATGATTCACGAGTCCCGTGCCTGTTCGGCTTTAAAGCCTCAGCAAGGAAACGGCTGGGCTCAGGCTAGTCAGGCTGTTCAGGATACAACAGATCAACAGAATCTCAATCACTTGGGGCTGGCTGACTTGCCATAATTCACCAGAAATTCACTTGATATAATCGCCTGATGACAGAATCACCGAAACCAGTCGAATAATCACCTGAATT